AACAGCAGTTAAGCAACAACAGCATGATATTACCTTGGCTTCTTAAGGAAAAAGTACTTTATATATTATCGAGTTCCTGGTTTACCCATGTTTGGGACGGGCAGTGCATAAACTAACAAGTAGTTTCTTGGAAATAGTAGTATACAAAGGAGCTCTGCTGGTAACGCAGTGGTTAATTGCTCAGCTGCTAGCCTAAAGGTTGTTGGTTCAAATCCACCTGAAGCTCTAGGGGAGAAAAGTCCTGATGATCTGTTCCTGTAAAGATTTACGTCTAGGAAACCCTATGAGATCGTTTTACTCAGTTACACAGAGTTGCTGTGTGTCTAAATCAACTTGACTACATACAAAAGTTACAAAGTTCCTCCCTATCTGGCCAGTAGGGGCCTCAAGTTCTATGAAGGGCCCATCTCTTCAAAATGTAGTTCAGAGAAAACAGTGCTCTGGGCCATCTGAGAAATTCCTGAATGATAGCAAACAGACTATAATCTGAGTGTTTTATATTTGGCATTGAAAAAATACTTGGGGAAACTTGTTTTGAATCACCAGGTCACTAGCTGTACATGTACATGAGTAAACAGTCTCATTCGGAAGCTCAGTTTTTTATTTTGCGCTGCTATTACTTAAGTTATTTAGCTGCTATACTTAATTCCTTGTCCATTAAAAGTTGTAATAAATTGGTTAATTTCCACTCAAACCAGTTTTGTGTGACTCACATAATACAGTGCAGCTGTAAGGCTTTCTTTTAACAACTTTTAGCCTCCACAAGCAAAAATGTGAAGTGTATATTCCCTGGAATATGTTTCCTTTCAAAAATGGATATTCAAAAGCCTACTGGTCAGGGATGTTCCAGCTGCAGTTAGAATGAAGAAAGCAGGCTGCATGCTTTCTTTACAGTGGACATACCCTTGAAACACTGGCCAGAACTCCTAGAGCGGCTCTCTTTGGACTCTGAAAAAGAAATGATAGCAGGTGGGTGCTGAAGGAAAACAAAACATGAAACACAAGAACCAGTGGCAATTTCCTGTTTTTGTTACTTTGGTTTTAATTTTGTTACGTTTTGTTCCTTTCCCATGTCTCCTGGCCCAGAATCAAAGGCAGATCAAACCTCAGAACTGCATTCTGGGTACAGACAGGGTTCCAAGAGGATCCCTAGCGTTCATTCCAACGAGCAGGAAAGGAAGCTGCCACAAGCCAGAACCCAGGGAGCTCTTGTCAGTCAGTCTCAAGGCAAACCTGTTGGTAGCATTTAGTCACACATGAGCACTGCATTGTTCTTTTTTACAAATTATAATTATACCAAACGTTCTTTTGTTTTATTTTGTTTGAGTAATAGAGAAAAGTGTTTATGCTGCATGTTGCTGTGTGTCAAGTCGGTTCTCTCACATACTGACCCTGCATAAAGTTTCTGAGAGCGACTGGTAGGTTTGAACTGCTGACCTTGAAGTTACCAGTCCAATGCTTATTATCCTAATTACGTAATCATTTTTAGTGATTTACTAAGCAGTGATAGTCTAAGTCACTGCTTCTCAAACGTCAATATACCCTCAAATTCTAGTCCAGCAGTAGGATCGGAGAGGCTTCAGCAGACTCGAGACTTGCCCGTATGGTCCATGGCCCAGGCTTTGAATAATACGGGAATAGGTCTACATGTTTAACAACTTCTGTGTGGTGGTTTCTAGTTTGTGACTTTTATGAGTAACATCTGTGGTCTATATGTGCATATGTATATGATGCACATAAAGCTTTTCTTCATATTTAGCATCATTTCTTAAAGGTACCCTTCTGGAAGCAACGTAACTGGATCCAAGCTTACAGCTCTCTAGGTGGCTATTAAATGTTGATTGTTCTCCCATAGGATTTTACCAGTAATAACGATATTGGTGTTTAAAGAGCCCTGGTGTCACTGTAGGATAAGCACTGGACCACTAACCACAAAGTGGGCTGCTCCAAGGGAGAAAGATGAGGCTTTCCAATCCCATAAAAATGTACAGCCTCAGAAACCCTGAGTTGGAATCAACTCACTGGCAGTGAGTTTTTGATGGTGGTGTCTGCCCTAAAGTGGATTTCAACTCATACACCCGTTGCCATTGTGAGTGTTTCATGTCTCCTCAAAACCCATCCCAATGCCACCAAGTCAATTCTAACTCAAAGCAACTGTGTAGGACAGAGTAGAGTATGCCCCAAGGTTTCCAGCATATAATCTTTATGGAAGCAGACCAACAGGGGGGTTTGATCCACCAACCTTTCAGTTAGAAGCCAAGTAGTTACCGTTGTGCCATCATAGCTCCTTAATATAAATGTAACCCTCCACATGTAAGTGAGGACGTTGAGGATTGCAGTCACAAGCTACTCAGTCCAAGAACCTGGCTCTTCTACCAGCATTCCTTGCATGCAGTCTCACCTTCGTCCTGCCCTCTCCTTGTGTAAATTGAGTCTGTCTGTGTGGGTCTCATTGTATCTGTTATTTACATCTGACGATGTATGTAACCTCTCATGGAATTTGTTGTGTGTTTTTTTAAGTTGATTTTATATACGCAATGAAGTTGTTAGTTTCTGCTGCAGTTGGTTTCTTTAAACGTTTGTAGCTACCCATCCTCTTGTAGTCTCCCACTGAGCGTGAGGAGGCTGTGATGAAGTTTGACAAACATAGAATGACACTTTTAAAATAAAGCTTAGAGGGGTTTATGGATGTTTCAAGAAATACGCATTAGGTTTGTCCCTCTTTTCCCCACTAAATGTGACTCGGTGCCATATTTTCTTCATAATCCCCTCGCCCTCAGCACACATATACATGTACAGTTTCCCCACAAATCTCCTCCTGTTAAGACGGGAGGGTAAGTTTTGGACCGCTGCTGTCTTGAGGGCTTTGATTTACACTTTTCAGAACAGAAGAAAATGTGAAATGAAAAAGTACCCACAGTTTTTTAATCATCATTTTCTTCTGCATATGGTTATGATCCAGGTAGACCAGACTTTTAATTTAAAACTTTTAAAAAATGTTGTCATGTTTATACATGCATCCCATTAAAAAAAAAAAATAATGCTTCTTCAGAACTCACGAAAAATAGAGTGCCTCAGGATTACCCCTCTCCTCCATCAGCACACAATTCCCACGTTTCTACTTCTTGTTCTGGCTTCCCATTGTGGATCTCTGACCTTTGTTTAGCTCGGTGCTCCATGCCTTACATTATTACAATCCTACAGATGCTATTCACAGCTAAGCTGTGTATGTACTATAATTACTTTTCCTTTTCTGTACAATATTTTGTTTCCTGTAGAGTTAGTGATTACTTTATATCTTTGCTTTATTAGTTTCCTGTATGCTTACTTACCCCACATGGTGACTGTCAATACAGTCAGAAGTGTTAAGAGATTTTATTATTTCAGCTTCTTAAAGACTGATCTTCTGAGCCTCCTGGATAGAGGCAGACCACTTTCTAGATCAGGCCCCTCGTTATCGTCTTAGCCAGTCCCGTTTCATCTTCTCTCTCTCTTTACTCCTTTTCTTTGTAGAACGTATTCTGTATAATTTCCTGAGAGAGAGTACATGGCTGGTAAACATTCTGAAACTTTGTGTTTTACAAAAGCTGAGGGCACTCAGGTCTCCATCCTGGAGACCTTGGATGAATTCCAACTAATGCACCTCACATGGAAGCTGTACCACCTGCCGTTGATGGAAGCAGTGTGTGTCTGTGTGCTGAATAGGCTTCAGAGGAGTTCCAGAGGAACACAGATTAGGAGGAAAAGCAACCAATGAAAACCCTGTGCATCACAATGGTCCAATCCAAAAACGCAGGACAAGGCCATGTTTTATTCCATGATGCCTAAGGTCCCCATGATAGCAGCCAGCAATAACAGTACGAAAATAACTTTAGTTTCTCCTTATGCTTAGTTAATAAAATGACTAAGTATAGATTTTGAAGTCAAAAGCATTTTTCCCTTCAAAATTTTGAAGGCATTGTTGCGAAGCCTTCTAGTCTCCAGTGTTGCTTTTGAGAAAAGTCTTGAGTCTTGATCCTTCACACGAAGCTTGTTTTTCATCACTGTAAGCTTTAGAATCATTTCTCTCATTTCTGAAATTCCATGATGCTATTGTGCTGGAAAAGTCCCTTTTCCTCTGTTATCCTGGATTCTCAATGGTCCCTTTCACTTTGGGAAGTGAAAGGGACCATTCTTCTTCATGATGTATTCAACCTGCCATCTTTAACTGCAAGTCTTAATTTTTGAAAGGGAAATTATGATGAAATAGGCACTTCCCAATGTTCTTATAATTTTAGTTGAATGTTGAAAAAGGGTCAAAAGAATGCTGATGTGAATAAAATATAGACGGTTCATACAATATATCTGACAGAGAAAATGAAAGTTAAAAGGTCTTTGTTAGTCTAGTATCCAGTCAAAACTTGTGTCAGATATAAGTAGATTTATTTATAGGATTTATTTTCAAATGAGAAAAGAGAAACATCCAATTACCCATATAATTTCAGAAGATTTGAGGCACATCCTGTTCAGTCTTTGTTTCAATTTAGTTTTAACCACGTCCAAGAAGTATTTTATATATTTGCCCTAAACCACAAGGTCAGCAGTTTGAAACTACAGAAAGATGAGGCTTTCCGCTCCCATAAAGATTTACAGACTCGGAAGCCCTGTGGAAACTACTCCACAGCACATAACCACCAACCACCACCAACTGCTATAAGACAGTTGTCCTATAAACCAACCACTGGTGAAAATGCCTCTCTAAGCTTTTCTTCAATTAGAGATTTAAATTTTCTTATCACAACAACTGCAGGTTTAATAAGGTAGTCTTCCTTTAGGTTTAATAAAAACTTAGGGAAAGTATCTGCAAAAATGTGCTATTAAAATGCTATTATCTAAGCTTCTTCTCTAGGCCTGTATACTCTTTTGGGGGTTTCTGTGTGTCTCAGTACTACATTAATTCCTAGATGCAGCTATTATTCATGTGTGCTGATAATGATTCTTGCCTTTCCTTTTTCCATTAGCTTTTTGGAGACTGGGAAGCCCAGCTGCGGAGAATAATGAAGCTCATTGCTGGAGGTGGCCTGTCCATTACTGGCTCTCACAACATGTGTGGGGACTATCTGTACAGCGGCCACACAGTCATGCTAACACTCACTTACTTATTTATCAAAGAGTGTAAGTCTAAAGCAGCCTTCCACTGTACTTCCCTGACTGGAGACAACAGGTCTTCAGTCCTGTTGGTAAAATCCTTTTTTGGAAAGTCTGGCAAAACGCTGTTGCAGGCTTCAGGAGGGCAGCAGTCTCGTCTCACCGCTGTGCCTGATGGGTGATACCTGAAATCACATAACAGCATCAAGCGTTTCTTGTTGAAGATTGGGAGTGGGAGCTATACTGGAAAGCCTGGAAACCTTGGGTTTTGAATCTTGGAGTCATCACTTACTAGTGAAACAAACTTGTAAAAAGCCCTCAACGTCTAACTCTTTCCTCATTTTTACAACGAGATACTTATAATTATATCATGAGGGATACGAAAAATTATGGTTAATGTATACACTAACAGGGCTGTACTGTGTACACATAAACCATAATTGGTGGCGGTTAGCCATTGTTTAGCTATTAATTATGTATTCCTAGAAAGTCTTAGAAGCCTCGATATATCTATACATACATTAAGGTCCCTAACCTGGTAACCTGAAGTCCCCGTGTGGCGCTGCATGATAATGCAGTGGACCGCAAGATTGGTTTGAACCACAAAGATCAGCAGATCAAACCCACCAGCCGTTCCTCAGAAACCCTACACAGGGTCGCTGTGAGTTGGAAACGACTCGACGGCACTTAAAAACTACAACACCATGACAATTCACATAGACTTGCAAGCTACCTCTTACTCCCTGCATTATAACCACTCCATCCATCCTGATCAATTTTTTAAATTTTCCCATTGCACTTAACACCTTCTAACATAGTGTATAATTTACTTATTCAGTATAACTACTGTTTATTGTCCATCTTCCTCACCAGGAAAGGGACCCTTAGCTGTTTTGTTCATTGATCCTAGTGCCTAGAGTAGTACTTGACTCTGGCACATGGTTGTTGTTGTTGTTGTGAAGTGCCATCGAGTTGGTTCCGACCCATAGCGACCCTGTATAGAGTTTCTGAGGAGCGGCTGGTGAGCTTGAACCACCAACCTTGCAGTTCAAATGGCTTTGCAGTCTGGCACATGGTAGGTTCTCAGTAAATGTTGGTCTCATGAATCAATGCTTTGTACACCTTTTGAGAATCCAGTACAAGCCTGAACTTTTTACTATAAGATAGGGAGGTGTAGATCACATTTCAACACATTTTTGCTTAAAATTTCACATTCTTTGAAATCCATTCATTGAGAATATAAGGTAGAAAGACCTGCACTAACAGAGACTTTTGATGCTCCCTTAGATGTCTTCTCAGATGGGAATGTTGTTGTTAACTGTCGTCAAGTCCATTCCAACTCATAGCGACCCTGTAGAGGGTTTCCAAGGAGCAGCTGGTGAGCTTGAACCGCCGACCTTGCAGTTCAAACTAACCTTGCACCATACCAGGACTCCCAGATGGGAATACAGACAAGTATTTTTCTGCCACTGTTCCTGATGTGGTGCTGTAGATAGCAAGGTCGGTGGTTCCAACTCACCAGCTGTTCCTCTGAAACCCTATACAAGGTCGCTATGAATTGGAATCGACTCGACAGCACTTAACAACAACACCACCACCACCATCCCTAGGTGGCGCAAATGATTACGAGCTCAATCATTTAACCAAAGGGTGATGGTTGACTCCATCAAGACATGTCTTAGAAGCCAGGCGTGACAATCTGCTTCTGAGAGGTCACGGCCTTGAAAACCCTGGGGAGCAGTTCTGCTCTGCACACGTGGCTTTGCCATGAGGTGGAATCAACTTAATGGCAACTAACAACAATAGCACTGCCACTGCGGAGGCACTGGGACTGGAATTCCCATTTATTTTTATCTGAGAATTGGACATCGTAAAGACTCTCAGATTTGTGTATGTTTATGCTTAGAAAGTAAGATTGTCAGTTGTAATTGCTTTGCCCAATAAGAACTTAATAGACCAATAAGTGCTGATTTTTGTGTAGAGTATTTGTTGTTGGTTGTGGTCTTGTTGTTGTGTGCCATCAAATCAGTTCCGACCCATAATGGCCCTGTGTTACTTTTCTGAGGAGCTGCTGGTTAGCTTGAACCGCCAACCTTGTGGTTCAAACCAAGTTTGCAGTCCAGCGCATTAACTCACAGTTCCACACCAGGACTTCAGTGGTCTAGATGATTCCAAGTCATGGCGACCCCAAGTGTGCAGGGTAGAACTGTTCAGTAGGGTTTTCAAGGTTATCACGTTTGGGAGCACATCGCCAAGCCTACTTTCCAGGACACCTCTGAGTAGGTTCAAACCACCAACTTTTCAACTGTAGTCAAGCACTTAACTGTTTGTCACCACCCAGCCACCTGACACACACAAATTTAATTAACTATCAATGGATAGATATTTTGTTTTTTAATGGAATATTATGTATTAACCTATCCTTACTTGATTAAACTTATTATCTTTAAAATTGTCTTTATCATTATATGCCAAATAATAACTAAATATGGATTACCGTTTGTGGCACTGTAGCATAATGCACTGGACCGTGAGGTCAGTTTGAACCACAAGGTTGGCAGTTCGAACTTACCAACTACTCCTCGGAAACCCTATGTGGGTCGTTGTTAAGTCAGAACTGACTCGACAGCACATATCAACAACAACATTGCTAGTATAGTTATTTTATAAATAAGCTATTTCCATTCTAACTGTGGTGGCAGATAATGCAAAGGCCATTCATTAGCCCTTAGATTTCATATCCCAAAAGATCTGTTTTCAGAAGGAAAGACTCAAGGCATTTCTCTTTAGAAGTAGTAAGGTAGACCTCGCTGGGTACTCTTAGTGGTCCTTGAATGATAAGACTATTGTATATTTCTACTCTTTTCAGATTCCCCTCGGCGACTCTGGTGGTACCACTGGATTTGCTGGCTTCTCAGCGTAGTTGGAATATTCTGTATTCTCTTGGCGCATGACCACTACACTGTGGACGTGGTGGTGGCGTATTACATCACCACGAGACTCTTTTGGTGGTATCACACTATGGCCAATCAGCAAGTAAGTTTTTCCCCATTTACTTCTGTCTTTCATTGTGCCGGGTTTGGTGTTACCTGCTCAGGGAAACTGGAGTGCCAAAAATTTAAGAGCTCATCACCTAAAATTATGTTGTGTTTTGTGGCTCTGATCCTCTTTTCAGAATCAAGATTTTTTTAAAAAATGTGTTAGTACAGTTATGCAAGAAATTGCTTCCTTTTAGAAACAGGTTCACTCTGTCTAGGGTCTACCCATTGCTTGTTTTGCATTCCTACCCATAGCATATCACCAGCTTAATACTTAAATTAACATTTAATACTTACTAACATTTTCAGTGGAGACACATGAGGTCTTCATTTATAGCCAAGAGATAGGTGAGCCACAAGATCATCTTGCTTCCAGAATTGTGTGTTTTGATTTTGCTGTTAGGGTGTGGCTCAGTTTGCAGCTGAGGGTAGAGTGGAGAATGGTGGTGTGGATATGGAACTGGGATACATGGATGGAAATGGGGATAGGTCTGGAGTCCTTGGTGAATATTGACATGGAAAGTGTTTGAGCTTAGTGATGAAAAAAGCAGGGTTCTTTTCGTAGCTGAAACAATGAATTTTACTCCCTGACATGTCTTCCCTTTCTCTGTTGTCTTAGGTGCTAAAAGAAGCTTCTCAGATGAATCTCCTGGCCAGGGTGTGGTGGTACAGGCCATTTCAGTACTTTGAAAAGAATGTCCAGGGAATTGTACCTCGATCTTACCATTGGCCCTTCCCCTGGCCAGTAGTCCACCTTGGTAGGCAAGTTAAATACAGTCGGTTGGTGAACGACACATAACAGCTGTACAAAGGTGGGGAAAGAGGAACTGTCCAAAGTGCTAAGAACTTCATGAGAAAAGATGCCATAAAATAAACACCTCCCTAATCCTATTCTCTTTCAACAGTTACCTTGACTTAACCTATTCAGTTACCTGGTCAGCACTGTGATCTTTTTTCTCTCCAAAGGACCTGTGTTGGACAACAATAAAGAAAATTTAACCTATCATGCACTGTACACATTTCCTGTTCATAGGTTTGGGATTTACATAACCCGCAACCACCATTTTCCTTTGTATATGATGCAACAGCATAAATGTAAGCTTTTATATCATAAGTTCTGGTCTTTCCAGTAACATCTGGAAATAAAGCGTATTATTTTCTTGGGAAAACATACTTTTCATATCTCTTGCCCCAAAGATTGGGCTGTAAGCCATTTTCTAGTAAATGTCTCTATGAAGGTTTCTAAGTACCTGAATGGGGTTCGATTCTGAAATCTTTCTACCTGTTGCACCGATATTGAAATACAAATGACAGACACAGAAAGGGTTGGTAACTTAGGGTTTTGTAAAAATAGCAGAGATAGTACGTCAAAAAGTGCAAAAAAAAAAAGTCTGTTATAAAATGATTTTCTAAGTATTTCCTAACTTTATTTTTCAAAATGATGTTATGAAAACCAAATTTAAAGATTTTTACATATCAGAGAGAAGAGAGTTGAAATTGAAAACTGCTTTTTTGGGAGAGAAATGTGTCTATGTTTCTAGTGCCTTTCTTGTCTTGATTGTATGGTCAGTAGGCAAATCTTAAATGTCTTTATTTAAAATAAAGTATTCCATAAAAAAAAAAAAATGTATGTATACACTACTAAAATTTGCATTTATAGCTAACATAAATCGGAAGACTGTTTATGGTTTTTAAATTGCTACGAATTAAAGAAGTTAATTCAGACTAGGAGCCTGTTCACATATTGTAAGCAGGTGGCAGTGACACGTACCACTGAAATTATTCTAGCATCTTGTTTGGTAGTTTGATTTTAACTACACAATGAAAAACAGCCATGAATATCCCCCCCCCTTTTTTTTTAAAAAAACAAACAAAAAAACAAAAGCAGAGTTTTAAAAATGATCACTAACTAAAACTTGAAAGCTTTAGTTTTCCATGTTCTCATGACAATTTTGTTGGTGAACAACAAAAAGAGATCTATTTCTTTAAAATATATTTGTGCAGAAACTGCATGTAACTGAGTTTTACTCCTACCATGCGAATGTTTGGGAAAGTATTCTCTTCTATATACTTGCCAATGTGGAGAACAAAATAGTTTTTTAAGAATGAAGAAGTATATGTATCCATTCTGTATCTTACGTGCAGCAGAGTTATCTTCCGTAAGGTTTGTATGTGTGTGTGTGTGTGTGTGTGTGTGTGTGTGTGTATTTACAAGGTGATATTTGTATTGTAAAACAATAACGGTGAAGGAAATAAAAAGGCTTTTAAAAATATTTTTTTGTTTTAAAATCTTTGTAAAGTTATTATTATTCCAGAAAGTATACTGATATCTTACAGCTTACCTAGATCATAAATTAATCAAAATGCACTTTTTAATAAAAACCGATGCTTAAAACAAATGGCTATTATTTTGAATCTGTTCACATTATTCACAAAGGGAATAACTGTAGTCATGGTAAACCAAAAGTGTCTGCTGTCAAGGACTTTATAGGACAGGTCTACAGGGTTTCCAAGGCTGTAAATCCTGAGGAAAGCAGACAGCTTCATTTTTCTCCCCCAGAGACGGCCTGGTGAGTTTGAATAACCTCCCTGTGGTTTAGCAGCCCAACATTTAACCACCTGTGCATCCAGGACTCCTATAGTCATTATAGCAAGATAGAAACCCAAGTTCCAGAATTTCTTCATTGAGTGTCCATGTTATTAGGCACTGAGCCTTTAATAGTCATTTCTTTTTTTTCCTTGAGATTCCTAAAAATGTATTCTAGTCTTAAGTAATCTTCACAAACTGAATTTTTTTTTTTTTTAGACAAGTGAAAAAAATCATGGATAGATCACTATGTATCACTTCTTTCACAGTCTCTGGTGAATTCTCAGGAAAGTCATCAGTTTTAATATTTTTCCCCCCACAATATCTGGAAGTAATGTGGCTTTTGGAGGTAAATTCCATCCTCTGAGGAGAGCCTCCTTAGTTAGTGTTGGGGATCAGAGCTCACAGCTCTGTAAACAGCAGCCATCTAGGACTGCCTCTGGTAAACTCATTGAAGTGTTCTGTGAACATTTGAATGACTTTTACCCTGATCAGCTTCCTTGGTTTTCATTAAAAGGATGTTAGTCCTGCCTGTCTTTTAACCTTCATGTGATTGTCAAAAGGTGTAAGCAAGTACCTTTTAATTGGCACAAAGTGTCGCCTGCACAGTCTCACCAAAGTATAAATCCTGTTCCCTGTCTCTGCAGCTGTAGCTCATATTACCCATACAGAATTTTATGAAATATAAAAAACAAAAAAACACAGTTGCTGTGGAGTTGATTTCAAATTATGATGACCCCCACGTGTGTCAGAGTAGGACTAGGCTCTGCAGGATTTTCAGTTGCTAGTTTTTCATAAATAGATCAATAGACCTTTCTTCTTCAGAGCTTCTGTGTGGACTGAGAACTCCAGCATTTCATTGAGCACCTGAGTGTGCTGTTTGCACCACCTCAGGACTCCTTATGAAGGATTGCCAACCCCCTGCAATTCTCTCCAGATTCTACACACACCTCCCACCAGACCAGAAATCTCGTATTAGACCACCTCATTGAGGACCATTATATGAAACTATGTGTTGAGCTGCTAAATGAAAGGTCTGTGGTTCAAAACCAGGAAAAGAAAAGGTTTGCTTGAAAGCCAATGTAGAACATGGCTTTCCTTTTGTACACAGACAAGCATATTAACTTGGCTAAATGCCCAACACGGTCAACAAATGCCTAAATAACACATAATATAGTGAAATTAAGGAGCCCTAGTGGCATTGTGGGTTAAGTGTTGACCGCTGATAGCAAGCATGGGGTTCAAACCCCATCACCTGCTCTGCAGGAGAAAGATGAGGCTGTCTGCTTTCATCAAAATGTAGTCTCAGTGACCCTAAGGAGCAGCTCTGCTATGTCAGTTTGCTGTGAGTCAGAAGCAACTTGGTGATAGTGGGTTTGGGTTTGGTTTGATTTACTTTGAATGATGGTGTTTACGTCTTGGCTGCTAAGCAAAACAGTGCTGGTATACTCAGGTGCCTCACAAGAAAAGTTTAGTGACTTAACCTCTGAAAGTCAGTCATTGAAAACCCTATGGAACACACACCTACAGTTACCGTGAGTTAGAATTTCCTCAACAGTTAATTTTTAAAATGTATTACATAAAACATGTGGAGGCCTCACAGCAGAAATTTTTTTGTCCTTGAATAAAGTAGAGCTGAATTTCTTGTCTGCAGCGACTGATTTGTATCTCATTTTTGTTGTTGAGAAAGATTATCTTGGGTCAATAGTTTCTGGAGTTCATGTAGCCCCCTTGGTTCCATGAAGTCTGAAGACCGTGAAAATTTGACATTCTGTAACAAATTTACCACCTTTGACCAGGATTCATCTATAGAATCTTCTGTCAAAATGCCATAGCCACACTGGCAAGATGGTGGAGTAGGCAGACCCTCTACAACAGAGACATGGGAGACCAAATGAAACAGACACAGATGAAAATCCTGGAACCCTGAACTTCAGAGGAAAGTTAGAGAAGTGGACTGAGTGCTTTCTGGGAGATGAAGCTGAACATCATAGCAAGAGAGGTAGACAGACTGACTCATTAAGGGCCAGCCAGACATGGTGCAACCAACTTGAACTTTTGTGAGCAGCTTTGTCCATAAGGTGACCTGACAAAACAGATTCACACAGACAATGGGAAAGGTGCAATTCCTTTTTCTACATGGTCCCCTGGGCAGAGATATGGGGACCCTGCTCTCGGGGAGTTCAGAGCTGCTTGGGTGTGAGCCACATCCGTGTGAGACAGGTACCAGCTGCACCACTTTGGTGCCTGAATTCAGGTGAGCTCAGCTCCAGACCTTGGAACCTCCAGAGTCACCAGACCAGCACTAGTCTAGCAGAAACCCTCAACCAGCTACCCTGTCCTCAGTTGCTCTGTGGTTCTAAAACCAGCTCAAGAGCCTCCATGAACTACTTCCAGATTGAGTGCCCTGAATATAGATAACACCTAGGCCTGTAGGTACTCCATCTAGGGCCAGGAACTCCGCTGTCACATCCCTCAACCCGAGTTTTCTCTTCTCAGGGTCCAACAGCTGCAATGGTTTTTGGTTTTGACTGTCTGTTGTTTCCTTGCTTGTGTTTATTCTCTTTGCTTCGTCTTGCATTTTATCCTTTCTAGCTCCGCTTTAGTTTTCCTTATTTTCTTCTGTTTCTTCTTTCACCTCTTTTTTTTTTTTTTATTTTTGGTATTTTTTTCGACTCACTCTTTTCATCTTCCTCTCCCTGTTTTTTCTCAATTTTATTTCTTCCTTTTATTTTCTCTTCTATGGCTCCAGTTACCTGTCTTTTTTCTTATTATTATATTCATTTTTTTCTGTTTTGATTTTCTCACCTTTATTATTTTCTCTTTTCGTTGTTGGATGCTTATTTGTTCTGTTTTGTTTTCTTATGTGTGTGGGGGAGGGGTGTTCTCCTTTTTCTCCCTTGACAGGAGACAACAATAATGGACAAATAGCCCAGCCACAAACGTATCCTCTTTAGCCCCACTCACTTGGCAAGAGCCAATACCAGCTCTTGTACCATGAGCAACAACACAACCGGTCAAAAACCCCCTAAACTGAAGCACACAAACAGAGACCAGTGTACACACTTCCATTCTCTACACCCACAGGAAACAGTTGGTGAGAACCTAAGAACACAGCAATACAATCATCAATTAAATATAAATACAACATGACAACATCATAATAGCTGGCCACAACAATCTTAGCTCACACGAAAAAGCAAGAATGGCTCAAACATAAGACCAAGATGCAGAGGAAAAAAACGTTTCAGAGGAAGAAAAGGAAACTAACTGAAAAAGAATGATGTCTACAACAGAAGTATGGCTAAGCTTTGGTACATAACACACAATGAAATGCTATGTAATGTTAAAGAATAACAATGAATCTGTAAAACACCTCACAGCATGAATGAACCTGGAGGACATTATACCAAATAAAATTAGTCAATCACAAAAGGACAAGTCTTGTATGACATCACTGTTGTAAAAAGTTAAGAATAGATTTTCTTGATAAAAGAAACCTTCTCTGATGGTTACTGGAGGGTAAGGAAGAGGGAAAATTTTTCATGGGGTACAAGGTTAACATGGGGCAGGCAATATACA